CTCCATACCCGCTGAGCTACCAGTTGTTATTGTTTTTGTGTACTGTCAAGTCTGAATGGACCCATAGTTGACCTTCCAGTGGGTTTTCAGAGGCAGTTAATGGCAAAGGAAGAGATTGTCTATCCTTCTCCTATGGGGCGGCTGGTAGATTTGAACCGTGTCTTCAGTATTGCAGAACACCTTTTTTTTTTTAAAAAAAAATTATTATTATACTAGTTTACTCACAAAATTTGAATACATTGTTTTCCCAAACAGATTCTTCCAATTTCCATTACCCCCCATCAAATTGTACAACAACATGATTAATTCCCCCTTCCCTTGCACTACCTCATTCCTCTGCTTTCCTCTTCCGCCACCCCAATCCTCATACTCGTATTCTACACTAATAGCTTCATACAATATTTGTCCTTGTGGAACTGAGATAGTTCACTCAACATAATGTTCTCCAGTCTCTCCCAAATTAGGTAATAATTTATAAAATCATTGCTCCTGTGTGCTGCATAGTGAATATACCATAATTTCTCAATATTTTCGTTTGTGGTTGGACATCTGGGCTGTTTCTATGTTCTTGCAATGGTTAATAATGCTGCTATGAACATTGGTGTACCAGTATCCATTTGTGTCTCAGTTCCATTTTCCTTCTGGTATATTCCTAGCAGTGCAATAGCTAGGTTATATGAGATTTCCATGTTCATTTTTCTGAGGGAAAGCCATGCCAAACTGCCTTCCAGAATGGTTATACCATTTTACAATCCAATCAACAATGTATGAGTTCCTTTCTCACCATAACCTCTCCAACATTTATTACTTGCTGCCTTGTTAAACTTTGCCACTGTTAATGGAGTGAGATGGTACCTCCTTGTGGTTTTGATTTGCATCTTTCCTATTGCCAGTGCCTTGGAGAATTTCTTCATGTATATGTTTGCCATGTGAATACCCTCTTCTGTGAAAATTCTTTCCATGTCTTTTGCCCATTTTGTAATTAGGTTATCAGTCTTTTTCTGGTGTAGGCCCAGGCGTATTCTGTAAACTTTTGTTATAAGACTCTTGTCTGAGATGGTATTAACAAATGTTTGTTCCCAGTTGGTAGATTTTCTTTTCACCCTGTTGAAAAAAGTTTTTGATGCACACATGGATTTAATCTTTAGAAGGTCCTATTCATCAATTTTATCCTCTTCAGATTGTACATTTCTGTTTGTATTTGGCAGACTCTTTATATTTTGTACTAGTGTTTCTAAGCTTGATCCCAGTTTGTCTTTTATGAACTTTATGATTTGGGGCTTTATTCTCAGATCTCTGATCCACCTTGAATTGATTTTTGTGTACAGTGTGAGATGTGGATCCTGTTTCAGCTTTCTGCATGTGGAAGTCAAGTTTTGTGAGAACCATTTTTTGACGAGGTTATCATTCCCACATTTAATAGCTTGGACTTCTTTGTCAAATATCAATTGACCACAGATAGTTAGGTCTATTTCTGGGTTCTCAATTCTGTTCCATTGGTCTATGTTACAGTCATTCTACTAGTACCAGTACCAGGCTGTTTTAGTTACTACTGCTATGTAGCAGGTTTTGAGGTCAGGGAGTGCTATGCCTCCCACCTCATTTTTGTTTCTCAGAAATGTTTTGCTTATTTGGGGTCTCTTACCGCTCCAAATAAATTTGATAATTTTCCTTTCAACCTCCTTGAGAAAGGAATTTGAATATGTAGATTGCTTTTGGTAGGATTGTCATTTTCACAATATTAAGTCTTCCTATCCATAAACAGTGCAAATTTTTCCATTCTATAGGTCTTTTATTGTATTTTGTGGATATGCTCTGTAGTTTTCTTTGTTTAGGGCTTTAACATCTCTAGTTAGGTATGTATCTCAATTTGTGATTGGTTATTGTAAATGGTTGGGAAGCAGGAGTGGCATCCATTTCATAAACCACATGCCTACAGAATCTCTATGAACTTGGAAAAATGACCATAGTTATAGAAAAGCATCAGTTCTTTTGTTCATAGTTGTTGTTGTTGTCATGTGCTGTTGAGTCGCTTGTGACTCATAACGACCCTATGTACAACAGCCCTAAACTCTGCTTTGTCCTGTGCCAATCTCACTGCCTCCGACACACCCATTCTGATTACCCCAGTCACTGAGTCAAGCCACCTCATAGAGGGCCTTCCCCTTCTGCACCATCCCTCCACCCTCCCAAGCATGATTTCCCTCTCCAAGGACTTCTCCCTCCTTACAACATGTCCAAAGTATGTCAGACGAAGCCTCAGAATCCTTGTCTCCAAGGAACAGCCTGGTTTAACCCTCTCCAGGATGAATCTGTTTGTTTTCTTGGCAGTCCATGGTACATTCAATACTCTCCTCCAGCACAGCAGCTCAAAGGCATCAATTCTCCTTCTATCCTCCTTGGTCATTGTCCAACTCTCTGATGCATAACAAGTGATTACAAAGACCATAGAGTCATTATAAATTGTGCTCGATTTGGTAGCAATCAATTACAACAACATTGTAAATGGTTTTGTTTTCTTGATATCCTTTAGTTCTTTTTGTTACTGTAGAGAAATCCTACTGAATTTTGGATATTGATCTTATATCCTGCTACTGTACTAAATTGGCCTACCAACTCTAACCGTTTTTGTTGTTTTTGAGTTTTTGGGGTTTTCTGTGTACACTATCATATCGTCTGCATATAGTGGCAGTTTAACCATCTTTTTGCCAATGTGGATGCCTTGTATTTCCTTTTCTTGTCATATTGCGCTAGCAAGCACTTCCAATGCAATATTGAATAGAAGTGGTGACAGTGAGCATCCTTGTCTGTTCCCTGTTCTCAGGGAAAATGCTTCTAGGATGAAGACACGATAAAGGTGACATTTCCTGAAAATAGGGCTCAATGACCCTAGCCATTCTTTACATTTCCTCAGTCGTCTTTGAGTTTTCAAAGCCAACAGTTCATGATCCTGCTTCTGGGTTTATGTTTATGCAGATTTTCTGGACGGTCACTTTCAACTGACTGCAGCTACATGATTGCAGGCTCATTTGGGTATTTGTGTTTATGATTGATTCATGTGAAAACATCTGGCTCACTGGAAAAATGAATCTTCAAACAAGGAATCCTCTGTTATTGTTTTGGGGAGGTGGGTAGCTGAGTTGGCAGAACCAAGAGCTATTTCCATATTTGGTCCAGGAAGCATTAAAAGAAGAACACAAGAATGTGGCGCTTATATTGTTCTCTAGGCTAGAAACTGGGATTCCCATTCTTCTCAGAGTCAGCCATAGTTTGTTATGATCCACACAGTCAAATGCCTTTGCATAGTCATTGAAACACAGACAGATATTTCTCTGGTATTCCCTGCTTTCAGCTAAGATCCATCTAACATCAGCTACAATATC